CCCCAAATAAACTTTTCCTCTTCTTTGATGCTCTTGTCAGGTCTTTGGGGGCATAGCAACAAAAAAGTTGATTAAAATGCATGGATAAGAATTTCTAAGTTCTAAGAGGGAGTTCTACCAGTTAGCAGAATTTTGCTGGCTAGTGAGATTCATTCTCATTTAAAGGTGGAATTAGAATAATTTCAAGGGTAATGAAAAAGATCTAGTACCTTCACATCCTCTCTCAATCTGTCCATTGCAGAAAAGAGCATCTGAGATGAGGTCCGGAAGCCGTCCATTTAAATCAACCGATGCCAGGCAGCCTTGAAAGCCTTCCTTGGCATGGACGAGTTTTGGCAAGGATTTGTATGTTTCTTTAGCCACTCCTCCTATATACAAGTCACCTGTGGGAAGATCAAAGTCTTTGTCACAAAAATTACATATTATTGACATTAAGCATACAGTAGCAGGAAGAAAAAGTAGTGAGACTTATTTTTGTTAAGGTAATAAAACATAAATTTATGACTCATTATTTTCCTAAGAGTGTGAAACAACAGAAATATTTGAATAATAGATTAGAACTAGAAGAAATTTCTTTATTTCCAGGAGAATTAAACAAGTTCAACATGGGAAGTGGATAGAACATGGGCCATAGGGATGCACGTCCCAGCACTGAAATCCAAACCAGTTACTTACCAAACCCTTGAGCAGATTCCATGATCATTAGTATCTTCATTTTCAAACCCAGAACAATAAAATCTATTCTGAAGGGTGGCTATGAGTATTAAATAGGAGAACACATAGGAAGCACCCATTGAAATGAAAACATGTAACACACTCTTGTAAAACTCTTCTTATTAAATTAACGTCTGCTTAGAAAACCTTGGGTCTTTCAGTGAATCGGAAGCTCAAGTTTTTTTCTAGTGGCCAACACACCTTCTGTACTGTTCCTAATCCTGTTGTCCTGAACTGTATATCCTGTTTATTAACTAACTCTCATAATAGTCCATGTATAAGTGAATATTAGGTCCTTCATCAGGTGTTTCCTTTTTTTAAAGTTAGATAATACAACTTTGGGCTCTTTATGCTGCTCTGGAATTTGTGAACCTGTTATCCATTTATCTTTGCCATTTTCCTGCATTTTGTAATGGAACATTTTGCTCAGCTCTGTCATCTTTAGATTCCCCAATTTCAGGGGCCACTACTTAAAAAAGGGAGTGCAATCTATGTTTGATTCTGTCTCTTTTCCGTTAGCAATTACCCACCATTTTCAGGTGGCATTCTGGAAATGTAATTAAGTGATTCTGGTAAACTCTAAATCATGGCAGAACCTAAGTAGTATGACCTTAGAATTCCATAATACACTGCTCCTCCCTACAAATTCTGTTAACAAAACATTCTCTTTTTAGCTACTTCTCTAGCTTTTCATTGCAATTTGAATTTCCTCTCTTAAATTAAGCATTCTCTCCAATTTCAGGGCACTTGTCATATTTTTCCCAGTTGTAGCAGAAAAGCCCTGCTATGTTCAACTAGACCCCTCTGTTTTGTCTTCATGAGATATGGGAACAAGAAGAACTGTTATGCTGCCATTTGTTACGGTATGAGTAACAGAGACCTTGGTCCCCAACCCGGAAATCTCATGACTTCTGCCAGTATCTTTGGAACAAGAATAAGCTGACTTATTAACCCGTGAGCAGGATAAAATCTGACCATAGATCCAACACTCCTGAACTGTATTGATGAGTACATTGAAACAGAGAGATCCTGTGTTGTTCTGAGTGCCACTTACCCTTAGAAATTGGGAAATTTGTCTCTGTAACTTACTAACTAAAGCTATATTTCACTAGGATGTCATTGATCCTGTATAATTTGTACTGAGCATAGTGGAGTGTTTACTTCCCTTACCTCCTACCTCTTAAATAAAATAAAGATTTATTGACTTCCAACCATTTTCCTTAATACTAAAGGAGAGTGTGTTTTGGGTCTAAGATAGGATACTATTTTTGAAATACTATTCGATTTTTACCCCCAAATTTCCGTTCTCTCCTTTGTCTTTCCTCTCGCTTCAATTTTAAGCCATGGTGTTTTCGTTGCCTCAGAAAGGATGTGAGTCATAAATCAAAGACACAAAATTAGCTTTCTGCATTTGAATCTTAAAAGCCTAGACTCTTCTAGGAATGAGATAGAATATGTAGGCATTTATATGAGGCAAGTACGGCTTTCCTGCACCCTATTTGGGAAAGGAGGAGCTGAAGTTGGAGGAAYGTAGTCAAGTTGAAATAGGAATTTGGGATACAGAAAAATAAATAAATAATACCAAATTTTAAAAAAGAGTGCCCAAGAACCACTGGAATGCAGAAAACACCCATAATTCATTGAAATGCAAAATGAACAACTCTGGAGCAACCCAGCTCACACCTTTGCACATATATCCTTGCCACAGAAAGCAGCATGATGAGAGGGCAAGGGCAGCCCCAAGAAAACTGGAGAGAACCTAAATAACTCTACCCTGACTCCATCTTTAGTTCAGCCCCTACTACTATCCCTCTGTAATAGCAGAATGCCAGGCCAGAGCATGGCTTCTTACTCTCTCCTCTCTCTCTTTCCCTTTGAATGTATAAACATGACTTTCCTCAGTAATTCTCCATTTGCACTTCTATCTGATGCAGGTCCTAAATTCCTTTCTGATATTTTTGTCAAGAACCCCACTTGTCCTGAGTTGAGGTCCCTTTCTCAGGGAAATCTTAGGACTCTTCTCCCATGACAAAGTGTGCATAAATATTTGAGGAAAGTAGGCTTTGGGCAAGCAGAAGATTAAGTGTGCATAATCATTTGGTGAAGACCAAAAATAGAGCATGATTTTACAGTTTAAGGGTTGAGCCCTGGTGGATGTCAAATCTCAGGTAGGTTTAAGGGAATAATGTAGATCTGTGAGAATTTCCCCGGGGGGAACCTAGTACAGCAGTAAGATCCTCTAGAAGAAATGGCTGTATGGTGTGTTTAGACATGCTCGGGGCTAGACAGCCTTCCATTCTCCACTGTGATGTGGGAACAACAGAACCATTTTCAAGTGGTCAGAAAACTGCAGAAAAGGCCTGACCCAAAGAGGTTACACACACAAGAACAAAGAGGCCTGGTAGCAAATCAGGGGGTACCTACCTGAGTTGAGTCTAGAATATTTGAGACCAGTTTCCATGCTACTTCTCTCTTCCTCTCAAAAGTACAATGGAAATTCTGCCCCTTCCCCAAATAATTTAGGTTTAACTCCAGGGAAAGAAGGAGACTGAAATTTCCTGAGATTATATTTTCACTAACTCAAAAGAATCAGAGCTCAAAATAGAAACCAAGGTGAGTTATAGAAAAATCAAGTTACCTTTCTTGCACATCAGAGAATGTGGGCTGAGAATTTTACTTTTACATGTCAAATATCAATGCAAGGATATGCTTGCTCCCTGTGTCTATGTGTTGAACTAAAGTGGTTAGGAAATTTTAACTCTGCTCCTGACCTAATGCCTGTCGTAATAAAGAATGGTGGGAATTGAATAAAGTTCTTGTCTCTGCTTTGGGCCTTAGAGATGAAGAACTTCAGTGCTGAAAGTTATTCATACAATGATTTTGACAACTAAACCTTCCTCTTTCTGATTGCAACTTCCTGGAGGAGATAGACCAAGTCTTAATTTGTTTTAGATTCTCCCATGGTGCCAGGTACTGGGCTCAAAACAGTTGAGTAACCAGTAAGAGTTTTCAGTCACCCAATGGATTGAGTACAAAAAAATCAAGAAACAAAAGGGAAAGGGGAAGKTACCACTTAAAGACAGAGCTAATGTTAAAATGTACTTCCTTCCTTCCTCTCCCCACTTCTTACCACAATACATATTTTTTTCTATTAGCAAACTTATTTGCCTRATAACTTTTTAGAGCTCAGTGAAGAGAAGTAATAATTTTTCCCCTGTGTTACTAAAGAGAAAAAAAATATCAATTCAAGCAGCGCAGCATGCAAGCCTCAAACATATCAAGGTGGATGTGTTTGGCTTTATAAGTAGGGACTTAGGCTCATTTTCATTACTGAAGCTGCACTTAGCACCACCACTTAGTACCGTCCTCATAAACCCTTCACATAGCAGATAGTGGTCTAAAGTCCCTTGGTGGGATGCCATACAAAGAGAACAAAGGAGACTCTTAAGTGGTCTCAGTCCTGTGTACCATTACCACCTCATCAAAGTTGCAGCTTCTCCTTTTGATCCTGGGAGTGATTGGAAGAAAAAAAAAATGACCCATTAGCACTAATGGTTCCTTGTAGGTGAAGCCATGCGCATATGAAGGAGGATGTAATTCTTAATAACCCCTGTAGGAACCAGAGCCTGGATGGACATTTATTAAAAGTCAAGTTTTCTGTAGAGTTGAAGGCAGTCTGTTACCTACTTTTCAAGCTAAGTAACTAATTTTATTCTTATCCTTTAAATAGGCAATACATACAATTGATAAGGCAAAGGTGGAGTTGGGGCATTTTGGGGTAAAAGATGCAGAGAATGTGTCTCAAGCTTCCAACCACAAATATTCTGGAAATAGATTTGTTGAAGAAATGTTAGGAATAGGGGCTGGGGATGTAGCTCAGTAGAGAGCACCTGACTAGCATCCCGAGGCACTGAGTAGATCCCCAGCACACACACACACACACACACACACAAAAAAAAAAAAAGAAAGAAAGAGAGGGAGGGAGGAATGCAGGAATGAATCTCAATGATAACTTCATGTCTAGCATCATATACATACATAAGCACTGTGCTCCTCTCAAAAGCGTTATCTGCAAATGATCAGAGATGATATCAGAAGTATCTCTTCTCTAGTAGTTGGGCAGAAATGAGTAAGAAATAGTATACAAATAGTTTTAGTTCTATCTGGCTACAAACGTTGGCCCTGCCACTTACTTTTGCTAAAGYTAGATTCTTTATCTGTGAAATGGAGTTAATAATGCCCACATCATGAGGCCATGAGGATTAGAGAAAATGTACGTAAATCATTTAATGTACAGTATGTAGTCAGCCCACGATTGACCCTGGGACAGCAGTGTTGGTTTGTCTGGTAAGAACTACATATCCATGGTGTACCTCATTCTATGTTGATTGCACTGAAAAATACAGAAGAATGAGTAGTCCAGTTTGTCCTCTTGTTTCTAATACAATGGAGTGACAAGATGTCAAATTTACAAGTCTGTCATGACATTTACTTGATAAGATTTAATTCACAGTCTTTTGTGTGCTTGAAATGTGTCTTGCACCAGACTGTCAGTAGCTCAAAGGGTTCCTTTGACATACGCAATCTGAAACTCAGTGGCATTGAACTTGGTGACCGAAATTGAAAAATTACTTGATAAAAATGTCTTCTAATTTGATMAAAACAGACT